CTACTACTACTGCTACTGCCACTGCCACTACGACTACGCCTACTGACCTGGTGCAGCTGGTGGCAGCTGGTGGCGGTCGTGGTGGCGGCATGCTTCTAAGGAAAGATTGTGCCGGTGATACAAGGCTTGAATTTTATCGGCATTTTTCCGGAAGTTCACGTTGCGAAATGCAGTCTAAAAGGTCGCAAAAGGAAGGATCATCGGGCATGATATACGTGAATGGGGTCACGCAGACCGAAGACTTCATGTCAGTTCCTACAGGATCCTGTATGTCAGAGCTCGCAGCAAGTCATGGCGAGATGATCGGAGCATTTCCGCAGATGCCCAACCCGGACCCAATAACAAGCATCTGCAAAGCCTTTCAGGCAATCTTGTGCTCAGCACGAGGGGCTTGGTCTCAAAACACGAGGGTTTTTCAAAGTCATGAATTTGTTCATAAACCGGTCCTATACATCGGACGACCTCATATTTGTAAACTCGCTCCACATCCAAAGAAAGAGAACCCAATGGCCTTGTGGAGCTGAAGATGTGAGCTCAGGATGTAGTCGGATTGAGGATTTTGCCATCGTCGGCCGCTTGCGAAAATGAGAAGCAATCACTTGAGGAAGTTAGAGAATCGCAGCCGGGCATCCATTGCCAAGGAATCTGAAGCCACCAACGCCTGAAGCACATTTCCGAGCTGGCGGTTTCGACTCTTCGGTATGGGGCGTGTTAAGAGTGTGCAGCTTAAGGGGCTTCCGGGGTCAGCAGGAATCGGGGCTTTAGGGCCGACGGGTTCGGGGTTTGTGTAGGTGTCTTCGTTCCGGTCAGGGGCTTCGGGGTCTAAAGTTTGTGGGCTCGGGGCTTGAGGTCTTCGTCGTAGGTGCCATTTGATTTGCCGTCTAACAAGGCTGGGGTTTGGCTGCTAGGCACAACGTGCTGCACAATGCCACAATGCTGTAGCATGTTGGGGCACGCTGGTTCGCTGCGCTCAGAGCTCTGCCGCGCAAGGGTTTAGCGTTTAGGGTTTGGGGTTTATGGGGTTGCAACTTGTTTTGATCAAACTTCGAGAGAACGACTTGTGCGGGACCTCACGAGCTTGCAAACATCACGACATACCAGTCATTAGGATCATCAGTGCACGTGCAGGGTTACACTCGTCAAAACAATTCTCGTATTTGCTTGAGCTAACAGGCTAACAGCAAGAAAAGGACTATTCAGCATCAGTCTCCGCTTTGAAGGTGCTGTTGCATTTAAGCTTTGCCCTACTCTTGCATATGATGCAGCCCAAGACCCCGGTTGCAGGCATCAAGGCAGGGAGCTGCCAAGAACTCACTAATGTCGGTGGAAGCACATGCATATGGTATTTATAAATGCTCCTACTACTACTAATCCTAACGAACTAGCTGCTGTAGTTGCTTCTGCTAGTAACTACAGTATGGGTGAAATACCATAATCTGTTTGCGAGGGAAATGTCGACAATGATAACCCTTATAATTCTGACCCAGACCCACTGCATTAAAGCCCCAGGTGCGGCAAATTGAGCTCCACCAGCTGGAACCACAATCGCTCCAGGCTGCGCCAGGCGAAGCCGCGCATCAGCAATATAGTCGAGCATTCCTGCGGAATTCAGGGTTTAGGGTTCAAAGGGGAAGGTTGAATCAAACGTGCCCATGCTAGCTGCTAACTCACGGCCAGATCCAATCTGGTCAACCTGGCTGGCAGGACCTTGAACAAGATTGAGATATGTTGTTTGTTTGTTTTAATTTGTCGTCAGAATTACCAATGGTGCCTATAAGACGGTGGTTTCAACGAATATCTCATGCGTCGTAGTGTTCATTCAAGCAAGCACTTAAATAAATAAGAGATAGCAAAAAAAACCATAGCCGCAAACATGTTGAATGTAGCACCAGCAATAGTAGTTCTAATCTTCGCTTCAATTGCGAAGCTTGGGAGCCTGTAAATCTGCTGGCCCCGTGGCTCCGCGAATTGCAAGAACCGATGTAAACCATCGTAAGGCTATATGGGAGCCGTTATATAGAATAGGGTTTTGGGGTAAATTATACTATGAGTAAAGCAAAGAACCCCAAAATAGTATTGGTAATTCTTTAGGCCCCTATATTACTTAACGGCCACTTCTCGTGCTTGGCCTCCAAACTACTTGCTTTGTGCCTGAAACCACACAAACCTTTCCGTCTGGGTCGCGATTCTTTGCTGCACTGCCTGTACATCTGTTCAACATAATGCCGTACACAGCCTCCCACTTTCAAACCCAAGAGTGGGCAATCCTCTGGCACATCACATGTGGCTGAAGTGTTGAGAGATCAGGTTCAGGCTTAACCCTAAACCCTCTACCCCAAACTCTAAACCCTGAAGAGTGCGTAGGTTTGGCCCTGAGCCTTGACATCCCTGGTCCGTGGTATTAAGTTGGGTACCACTGTAAATACTCTCACAGCCTGCAACTTGCAGCTTGCATTGATAAGACCTTGCTGCCAATCATCCCTTCGACACCCAACTTCATAATAGAGGGCCTTAATAATTAGAATAGGGTTTTTGGATCCTTCATAGTATAGTTATAATAAGGAACCCATTAAGGCCCCTGCATGAACCCTTTCCATCCGGTCTGCAGCGACCCTACCGAAACAGACTTGCATCCTCGCTTTATAACCCTAAAGCCCTAAAGCATTGAAGCCGTAGGCCTAAACCCTAAACCCTAACACCCCTCGAACCCAACCCTGAACCCTAAACCCTATAACCCTAAGTCCGATAATCCCATAAGCCTAAACCCGCCGACTTCGGGACATCTGTGCGCAGCGCTATCGCGCAGTCGTAGAGGAAATACCTATAGCGGCCTAATGTCCATGCCCCGGCATCGCCAGTGGAGCTGGGCACGTCTAGGGTTTAGGGGTGTAGGGTTTTTTCAGTTTTAGGCTTAAGGAAAATTACAGGGCTGGGCTATTATGGGGATTAGGATTTCGAAAATCAGCTGCTCTGCCAGCTGCAGGCAAAGACCCTCAAACAATGATGACATTGCTCACATCGCAGCCAAGGCGTCGACCTCAGGCAGTTAGGAAATGACAAGTTCTTAGTACTTATCCCTAAACCCTAAACACTTCGAGCTTAGGGCTTCAGGGCCCTTGCCGTAATTGAGTCCTCTACGGAGGTCCAGGGCTTCTGGGCTTGAGGACTGCCTTATGAGCACAGGATTCCTTCAGCTTCTGCCCTATCTATGAGTTTAAGAAAATAGGGGACCCTAGTATAGTACCCTAAATAGTAGGATCCTTACTATAAGGACCCACAAAATAAGGTACCCCCAATTTTCGGAAACTCCCATCTATGGCTTGGTAGGGTTGTAATACCAACTTACCTCTGGCAAGCTACAGTAGTCGGGCAAAGCAAAGCGTAACCGTCGATCCTTCCCTGGACTCCCCGTCTATGCCGACCAAATGGGTTTGGGGCTTTAGGGTTCTTGCTGGACATCGAAAGCCGTGACAGCAAGTGATGATATTCTCAGCCCAGCGAATTGAAAACTGGCAAAACCCGTACCCCCTGTTTGCACACACCTGTACTGATACCTGCAAACCCTTTCAGCACGGGCTGCGGGTGCGTGCCGGCTAGCTGGAATCCTGAACTCATTGAACCCAAAACCGCTTAACCCTAAAGCGGCCTCATGACTTCAGTGATCCACAGCCCAGAGCAAACTCGACCGTGGCGGCCTATAAACCTGCCCATAGCCGCCCCTCGGCACTAAATTAATGCCAGGCGTCGTTTAAGCAGCAGTGACATCAGCGACTCCTTGTTGGGGTAGGCGCCGGTCAAGATTGCGGTAACAGTCCCCCTCTGTCTATCAAGATGGTGTCTAGGACTCGTTTGGGGTTTATAGTGTTGTGCACACATGTTTCCAGGTCCTACATTCGGGTTTCAGGTGGTGTCAGGCTTGCGACTCCGGCAGGAGCATTTAGGGTTTAGGGCTTAGGGTTTAGACGGTTTAGGGTTCAGGGTACGGTGCAGGCCAGCCTCGCGGGCAAGACACGAAAGCTCCTACACTCGCGCTGCCAGCTCTAAAAGCCTTCATGTACAACCCTACATTACATGCCCCACATTAGGGTTATCGCGTCCTACTTAATCCCAAACTAAGAAGCCGAACAGCCTCAGGCCGAAGCCGAGATCTGCAACTGTCAACTTCAAGTGCGGCAAGGAAAACAAATAGTACGGTTGATGGTATAAACCCTGCATTACCCAGAATAAGGAATATACCCTCATTCCTATAGTTAAGGGTCCTTGAAGCCTTAAGGTAATGTAGGATATATTTATATCATCAACAGTATTGCATTACTCCTCACCCCAGGTTGTGTACAACTTAACCTGCGAAGAAATAAACCCATGCACCACAAAGTATACCTCCACAATCCAAAAGCCCGATAACTGTAATCCCAACATCCAGAAGCCCCCCACGCGAGGGCGTAAACCCTAAACCCAACATCCACCAGCTTAGGGCAGCTACCTCGGCATAGTCGTGCCCCGCCCCCATGGGCTCCAGCAAAGCTTCGTAGTCTAGACTGCCTATGCAGGATTCCTAGTACACCTTAGGGCCCCTTGCGAGAACTAAGATGCTTTTGGAGTAAATCCTAAACCCTGAACTTCCGCCCTAAAGAGGTTTGTGGGAGCTTTTCTGCTCTGGGCATAAGGATCCCGATAGGGCTTCGATCTAGGAAAGAAAGCCTAGAAGGTTCGCGTTGAAGGCTCTGGGTTTAAGTTTAAGGTTTTGGGTTGCGGTTTGAGGAGGGCTTTCGGGTTTAGGACAGTTTCGGGGGGGAGGGGTACAGTTGTAAGGCCTTTTTGATAGGGTGTAGCATGTAGGGCGACGAGTCGCGAATCAGGAAATCTTGTAGAAACATTGTCTGGGAGAAAGCAGGCTCGGCAAGAACTCCCCAAACTTAACCTAGCATGTCCCTTGGTATTGGTAGACACCTGGCACCAATTGCCATGTAGGGTTTAGGGACCCTGAACCCTAAACCCTTGGTATTGGTAGACACCTGGCGCCCTTTGTAATGTAGGGTGGCAGCGCCTCGTCTGGGTCTTCCACCAACGACCGTTTGCAGCTGCTAAGACGCGCGTCCTTCGCCTCCATCATAGGGTTTAGGGTTTAGGGTTTAGGGTTTGTTTCGAGTGGAGGGTCTAGACAACAACAGCTATCGCACAGAGTTCCCCAATCAAACTAAACGAAGAGGACCGCTGCAAGCTGCGCTACTCCGTGATCAGACAGAACATACCTTCACGACCAGGAATGCCGCATCACCCACTGTAGTGCTACTCATCATCATGTCCCTGTCGTCAGTTATGTATATATATATATATATTATATATATATGTGTGTGTAATTTATGTGTATGTATGTATGTGTATAAATATGTAAATAAATATAAATTTACATAACATAATATATATATATATATATATATATACACACATATATATATATATATATATCGATATATATATATATATATATCGGTCTATATATATATATATGTCATGCATATATACGTATTATATAACCATATCAATTTTAAGGCCCAGCAATGGCCCAACATGCCTGCGATCGTTTCTCGAGCTCCATCCGCTCAGTGCCCCCGGAAAGAGCGAGGTCGGAAGCCGGGGCAGGCCTCCGAGGCCGCGGGTTTCAGGGTTTGGGAGTTTTGAGTTTTGGGATTCTTGGTGGTTTAAGGGTTTCTGGTTTTAGGGTTTGGGGTTTCGAGTTTTGGGATTTTTTTGGGGGGGTTTTAGGGTTTTTTAGGCTCAGAGTTTAAGGGCCAACTTTAAGGATCTACGGCTTTAAGAGCTCGGAGCCAGGGCTCAGGGGTGCTTGGGGGGATTTAAGGTCGGTATTCCAGGGTCGGAGATTGAGGTCTGCGAGTTTGGGTTTCGACTCTCGCTCTCGCGCGCAGCAGGCAAGGATCCTCATAATGCCGTCACGCAGATGCCAGGAGCCACTAGACAGGATCAGGACTCAGCACACACAAACATCTAAAGCTAGAAGCAATAGCTGATCTCTGTACCAGCAATCCCTCGCTCATGCAGGGGCATTGCTCTGGCTTTGTGTTCTACAGACATGTGGGCACCACTAGTTCACGCGATTGCACTGATCGCGAGTCCACTCCTCAATACATCAGGACTGCATGTAGCAACAGAAGAACAATCATTCGAAACTGTAAATAAGACGTAGGAGCAGTCATGGTGCACTAACTCAAGGACTCCACTGTTTCAATAAGACTCCTCACACGATCAGATCATCAGGAAAGTGCATATCGTTGTGTGGTCACTGAAATTCACATGTAGTTTGCGTCCCTGCAGAAAGGCATGCCGAGCCAGAATAAAGCATGCAGGGTTCGGGTTAAGGGTTCGGGGAAGAATATCAGGCTTTTGGGGTGCAGGGGTCTCGAGACTTTCGATTTAAGCGGTCATTTGAGTGAAGTCAAGGGCTTTTCCTGTGGGGACTACCACGGCATACCCGTCCCTTGCTGTCCCTGCGCTCGAAGAGATTATTCATGAGCTGGAAACGTAGCAGGACTTCATTCGTGCGCTCAGGGACTTGCCTGAAGTCGGGGCTCTGGCTTTGGAGTTTTGAAACGTGCGCCAATTTCATATGCCACCCCACGGACGGAAGGCGCAGAGTAGCTGTCAACGCGGCGATCGTGATTGATGTCTCGGTTTGTAATGCTTAAAGGTCCATTGAAGTAAGGGCCCCTTCATGGAGAGTAGTCGGCAGGCAGTGAGAGCACGGATGTGAGATAAGGAGGTCGGGCGTTCGGGATGAACACCGGATTTGGAGAGCTTTACGGTTAAGGGTCTGGGGCTGACAGGGTTAAGGCTCAGAGTTCTTTTTTTCCCTCTCGCATGGCAGCTCAGAGTTCTTTTGGGTCGAGGGGTTTCGGTGGTTCCAGGATTTCAGTGTAATTATGAGAGCTGTATGAGGCCTGGCCTGGGTAAGCTTGATCAGATACAGTAGTTGTAGGCTTCCTCTTGACATCCGAAGATGGAGGCGTCTGCTGTGGCTAGGAATTTGATGAGGCTGCTTTGCTGTCTCTCCATCCTTCGTTGATTTCGGCAATTTGTTTTCCGTGTAGTTAACGCTTCTCCGTCCTTGACAGAGTGTTCCTCGCGGGGCTTACTTCAACTGCGGTTCGTTTTGTTCCATCCCGCTACTGTATCTGAGCTCGCGAATCGAAATAATTATTATGCGCAATGCCGCAGCCATGGATGAATAAGTGGTCTGCCGTGAGGAGCGGTAAGCACACACAGACTTAGAACTATGGATGCCTATACAAATGTATACATATAGGTATAGAGATTGAGAGAGAGAGAGAGAGAGAGAGACAGAGAGAGAGAGAGAGACAGAGACCCTCGCACGCCTGGCTGTGTTTAGTTGCGACTCTGCTGAAACCCTAGCAGTTGCAGGAGTCGGGGCATCATGGGCCCGATGGTGCGTAGAGCTCAATTTTCAGCATGCACTTGGCTTGTGTGCCAGCGAACACACCTCAACGTGTCCCTGGAAATTGAATGAAAAGGGGGGGAACGCGTTCGTGCAGTGTTTTTGCTTTGCAGCATGTCTGAAGGCTACGCCGGCCTAATGCTCAGCAGGGAGCCGCTTTCTACACCTTGTGAGATCAAAAAGGGTCCTGCAAAAAAAACAGCGGTAGATAGTTAGATATGCAGATACATGAATGCGGTATTGGGGTTCACGGCTTTAATTTATATTCCCAATCAAAAGCGCTCATGCCTTGCAAGCAGTTAGCAACTTCTCTCCAAGCAAGGTCGCTAACGTTGTAAGTCTTTCAGCCCCAAAGCGCCACGCCTCAGGAGGCTCATGAAGCGCCCTGTAGGAGGAGGCCGCACTTCGACGCGGGCCGATGCCAGCGCCGACGCCCTCGGCCGGGCTGCCCTGCATGGAGATTTGAGGTATAGTTTAGGCCCGAGTACTTGGACAGCTTTTGGGGCTTGGGGTCTGGTCTATAGAACGGAGTTGTGGTACAACTTTTTAAGACACCTGCCAGCTGCTCTGTCGGCATTTGTTGGTTGTGTGATCGTATGATGCGATAATGCTCATGCTGAGCATGACGTTGACAGACGACGATGCTGACGATGAAACGGAGAAAAAGTGTTGATGTCAGTGTTTACAACGGTGATGACGATAGAAGTCGCCACTGCTACTTTCGCTGTGCCTGCTGCCACTGCCACTGCCGCTGCTGTTTTGAGGTTCTTCTTCTGTTGTTGTTGCTGTGGTTCTCGTCCTTCTAGCTGCTGTTGGATGTCCAAAACGGTGATCTATGCGACGCCTGCTCCAGTCAGGCAGCCCGTCACTTCACCAGATCGGAAACCGAAAGTGCCACACCCTGATTCCTACACCCCTATCTCCTTACCCAAACGTATACGTCCCACAAACATCGAGATCCCACGGTAAAAATGCAAACTTTACATAACTCTATATAAAGCCTTACCTAGCCCTTACCCTTAAGCCCTATAAATCCTAAACCCTAACTAAATTGTCTCAAGCCCACAGCATCGCTTGTGCCTCTGTTTCGTAGGGTTGTGAGCGCCTTTTGGGAAAACGCACTCCGGCGACCTCGAATGCAGCTGAGCTTCGGAGATCCCGGGCTGAATGTGATGGGAATTTCACTCAGGAGCACATTTAGGGTTTAGGGTTTAGGGATCTCGAAGGTTTCAAGAATCTGAGGATCTGAATTTCGGGGTGGTTTTGAGATTCAACGGGGCAGTTAGGGCAGGTGCTTGGCCTACTCCAAGGCTGATGCTGAACGCCTCCCGGCCCGTTGTACGAAAGACAAGGGACCAAGCGACATAGATAGCCATGGGAACCCAGAGACTCCACAACCCCTTAATTAAGGAATATACCTTAAATCATATTAGGATTCCTATTATAGTTTAAGGTACATTCCTTAATTAAGGGATTTTGGAGTCTCTGGGAAGACAGAACTCTCATCTCTCGGCCGGGCTACGACATACCGCACAGCCCAGCATCCTATTCCAACGAGCCCTAAGCCGCAAGCCCCAACAAAGCCTATGAACCCTTTCGTTGAGGAGCATGCCAGCACCAGCGAGCAAAGCAACACCATGCCAATAATCAGTCGGGGCCGTACTAATTAGAATAGGGTTTGGGGCTCCTTTATAATAGGGTAATTATGAAAAAGGATCCCGAAGGAATTACATGTGTACTTATTTAGGCTTCTGTAGTAATCAGCCGGGGCACACATAACGCGCGCGACCAGGCGGCAACAGTGCGCGCAACCGTTCCGCAGGGTAGCGGCGAGCCGCCTCCTAAGTCGGGGGTTCGTTTGGCGTTTAGGAGTTTAGGGTTTTGGGTTCAGGGGTTTAAGGTTTTGGGGTTTAGGGTTTCGGGTTTGCGGCTTTGGGGTCCCCAGACACTCCAAAACTTCGGAATTAAGGAATATATACATTAAATTATAATAGGGTTTCGAACACAGTTTGAGGTATGTTCAACGCTTAGTGAAAGGTTCTTGCAGTCTCTGGGTCTTTAACTTTACAACACTGGCAGCATCACGGGCGTTGGTGACTGGTGTTATGCGTGAGGCACGTTACTCACTAGGTAACATGCGCCTCCAAACAGGAGTCCTGTTGCCATAAAGATAGGGTGTGAACATGTCGCTTCCTTATTTTCCTATGCTGCCAAGTATATACTGCCAGCTTGGGATGGGGTTTAAGACTCACGGCTTTACTGTCCGAGGTTTAGGCTTTGGGATATGGCAACAAAGCATACGCAAGTATTAATAGACGTCAGGGTTTTTTAGGTCCTGCTTCGCCATGCACAAAGTTCTTCAATGAAATTGATCGGCTTGGCTTTCGGGCTTTGGGCTTGAGGCGCCGAGTGACCTAGGGCCCAAAAGGTCAAAAACACTCAATCCTGTCATGAGCCTTAGTCCTTAAACCCTGAACCCTGAACCCTAAACCCTAAACCCTAAACCCCTAACCCCTAAAACCCCAAACCGTCCTTAAACCCTGAACCATCCTGAGCCCCGAATTCCTGCGGAACCGTGGCACAGAACATCCACCCTTGGAGCCAGAGAGCTCTCCCTGGCCCCAAAGGGTTCTAGGTACTGCTGTTACGGGGATATATACTTCCCTCAAGTCCTAAAGTAGAAAAGTATCTAATTCCTAATATGGAAACCTCTACAGTCTACTAAATAGGGGTTTCCGAAAATAGGGGACCCTAGTAGGTAAGGGCCCCAAAATAAGGTACCCCATCTTTTCGGAAACTCCCAAATAGGTACATAGGACCCTTTCAACATGGCCTGTGCCGTGAGAAGACGGAGGCGGTCGACATCCGACTCTGCATGGCCGGCCGCCTGGCAAAGGCTGTAAAAGTCCTTCATAGGGTTTATGGTTTAGGGTTTAAGGTAAAAGTCATTCATAAGGCCTACCTTAACCCCAAATAACCTACATTTTTATGGTCTTTCATAAAGGAATCATAATACGGAATCTTAAAATGGTAGGTTCTTCAGGGTCCAGGTACGGCTTAAGCATACGTTTGATGTTAACGGTCCGCTTCAGAATTTAAGTCTTTAGTGTTTAGCCTCTACTTACTGGTTCAAGTGCTGGCAACTTCGGCTTGACTTGTCAGGCAGTGGGTTTAGGGTTTTAGGGTTTAGGGTTTGGGGTATATAGTGTTATTCGGATTACGCTCTCGCAACAAGCACGCCGCTAGATGAGCCATCTAGCAAACTGGTTCAGAAATTTCTGGTGAGGGTCGCGAGAAGCATGTTAAAGGCAGTGGCCTGACTCAGAAAGCCCTGGTTCTTGTTAGGCTTCTGAGTATGGACCGTCTTTTTGCTACGGTCGGACAGTGCAAGAGAATAACAAGGAAAACATGTGTATATATATATATATATATGTAATGTGTATGTGTATATATATATATATGTATACATATATGTATGCTTTATGTATATGTGTATATATATATATATATGTATATTCCAGAATTTATAACCCTCGAACATGTGCGTCTGCCCCCAAGCCTGCACTGAAGCCTGAGGTGCGACGGTCAGCTCTGGTAGCAGCCTCGCGGCTAGTGCCTCCTTCGCCTCGCGGAGCCAAGACCCAAGGCATATGAGGGTTGTCAGCACTCGCAACTCGGGCATGTTAGGGTTTAGGGGTTTATGGGCTGAGGGGGTTAGTGTTGAGTTTGAGGAGTAAAAGGATTGAGGGGCTCAGGGTCTTAAGGTTTACATCTTCATGTAATAATCACCACCATCATCATCATAATCACCGTCACTATCGCGGCCACCACCATCGCCATGTTATCCACCTTCGTTATCCGCACCTCATGGCGAGATTGTCATGACGGTTGTCATAATTTTGGCGATGCCGCGAGCGATGAGGATGGCGATGCTTATGATGGTTCCGGTGCTATCTTTAGGTGTCGTGGTGAAGCTGCCAGCGACCTTGCGGAAGGCGAGGATGTTAACCATGATACTCACAGCATCCGACCGAAACTCATGCGAGATCTGCGGAGAGTGTTTTGCCTGAAAAGGATGACAACCACAGTTGTATGCGAACAATGAAACGGGATGCACGATAATTCATGCCGCTTTGCTTCATTCTCAGCACGCGTGCGCCAATGTGAAGTCAGGGTACACAAGGTTTACAGGCCAAGGTCCAAGGTGGTGGGACACTCTCGTGTTGCACCTACGTACGCAGACAAGGACGCATGTGCAAGCAATCCGGCAGGTGCCTCTCTTGTAGTGCCCCTGCTTCGGCTTCGGGATGCCTATGAACCCCTAAATCCTAAACATCTCAAGCCCTGAAGCACCCTATCTGATTTGCGATGGCCTCCCGGTGCAGCTTGCCGAGAGTGACGCCAGCCGTCGCTCGAGAAGCGGAGCCAGTAACACAAGCCGCCTGAACACAAACAGCCCGGTGTCTAGCGCCATGGGAAGGGCTCCTCTAAGAGTTCCTACACTGGCTAGAAGGAAATAGGAATCTCCAGTCTGCCCCATAGACAAATAGAAACATGTCCCTGTGAATGGATGTCGTGTGGGGAAGGGGCGACAGCTGCATGGAAGTGTTTGCAATTGCTATACATACGCCAGTATGGACAGATCAACATTGCATGAGTGTGCATACATGTCTGCTGCATAGGCATTCATACTTGGTTTTTGCGTTCGATATGCCAGCGTACATGGGCGAAACAAAAATCAAGAAGGCAGCCGATTATCCCTCGCTCCTGCCGAATGATTGCTTGCATGTGTAATAGTTTACCTGGTTACGAACCCACAATGCCACCGTAACAAGGTATGCAGTATGTAGGATGCGCTGCAGCAGCGTGGGCCACGCGTTATCACCACCACACGCACTTCAGGGATTACTTCGCAGACTCAAAGCTATGGAGCTGCAACCGACACGGTGGGTCTGCAGGTCCTTTAGTCCGGGTCCAGCAAGCAATATAATATAAGGCTTAGGTCTCAGGGCCTGAGAGGAACATAGCAGTTCTGAGAGCTCGAGCTTGCAGCTCGACCCCAAACCCTCAACCGTCATCTTTTCTTGCTTGGCCTGTGAAACATACGAAAGTTCCAAAACCTGCCCTCAACCCCTGAACTGAAAACCCTCGAAACTCAGAAACCATGTTTTTTGCATATACCCTAAACGATTTTGAGCCAGGAAGCCAGCAGCATCCGCGGCACGCTAGGTGCGGCCCATGCAGCAGGTGCCTCTGCGAGTTCTGTGCGGTGGCACCATGGGCAATCTTGTATAAAAGCTTGAAGCAGCCAAACAAGGCGCCTATAGTGACTTTATAATAGCATCCTGTGCACTGCTGGTCTAGTTAAAACTCGAGGTGTGGACACCTCTGAGCTGAAACTGAAACAAGGAAGGCAAAGCGGTTTAGGGTTGAGGGTCCAATCGGGCATCTCGTCGAGTTCTTCGGTGTGCGTACGTGTGCCTCTAAGACTACAAGAATCCCATTGGCATTCGCTATCTGCTGAGGGTACCTCCAGTACGACACGCTCTTCTCAAAAACGCGAACGCGAGGGCGGTTACCGTTCCGGCCGTCAGCGCCGTCGTCGTCGTCGCCGCAGGAGTCGGAGAAGCGCAGCAGTAGTGACAGCAAGGATAATGCTGTCGTCGTAGTAGAAGTAGTAGGAGGCTGTGGGGGTGGAGGAGGAGCAGCAGGCGCAGGAGCAGCAGTGCAGCATCGTTGATAGCGTTGCTGCCGCCCCGCGGTTCCCTGGAACGTCTCGAGCAGCATGTTGCACGGGTAGTAAGAGGATCGGCTCGGGACATACAGGGGCAAGGAATGGCAATGGTAAAACCGCAAAACATCGAGGCTCGAAGAGACTTCTTGTGCTCCTCGCTGCTCAGAGATGATTTCATGAAAGGACTCCGGCAGGGCAGGGGTGAAATAAGGGGACTACAGTGTGACATCAAATTCAGAACCCTTCACGGAGAAGAAGAGCGGCGGCGGGACGGTCTTACTTGGTACCCTCAGGCCTGAAATCGCGAAGAAGCAAGAAAGTTGGAACATCCTTAGAATGCATCTCCCTGTTTTTTGGAAGTCCATAGGAGTTGGCACCAGCGGTGCGGCCTTGCAGATCATCAGCGCTATGCGTTCCCACCTGCCGCAGGGTAGTAACAGAACATAACATTGAAGCCACAGTACGATACACGACCATACCCCACGCACGCACGCACACACACACACACACACACACACACCATGCTTTAGTGTACCGTACCGTGCCATCCAACAAAGGGTGGTACCGATGCTGGTGCTGTGGATTTTGGCGAGGCTGCTGGATGGTGGTGATGAGGAAGGTGGCTGGCGACAACAAAGTAAGTCTGTCCAGCTTCCCAAGGGGTACTAAACGCTAAAGTTTAGGGATTCTATGGGGATCAAAATACCCCAAATACGGTTGCCTATCGCGTAGGTACTCACTACTAGTAGTAGTGGTACTACTACTACTACTACTACTACTACTACTACTACTACTACCACTACTACTACTACTACTACTACTACTACTACTACTACTACTACTACTCCACTACTACTAGCAAAGCAATCAGAAATGATCTGTTCGAGCCGTGAGATGGACGGCCCTCTTCCAGAGCCGAGAGCAAAGCCCGAAGAAAACCCTCTGCCGGCAATCCCAACCGGCAGGTGAGGGTTTAGGGCTTATGGTTGAGGGTTTTGTTGTTCAGCGCCTCTTTCCCCATATGAGTAGCCTCAGCAACCTCCAGGACTCGAGGGCTGAGGGTCTAGGGATTAGGGTTTGGCCCGCCGCCGTCAGGAGCGCGAACTCCCACTGGGCTTCTGAGTCCTCCTCTGCCTAAAACTAGAAGAAACTCGTCGCAGCCACCAAACCAGCACGTTAAAACATGGATTTTTCGGCTCAAGCAGCCACCAACTGTGAGCGCAAACAGAACCACTCGAAGCCCACCATCTTCGTGGTCTTATAGCCAACAGCCCTCCTCTACCCACCGAAACCCCAAGCTCACGCCCTGAATCCTGAAAGCAAAGCCACACCTGAACCCCAACCCTGAAAACCTGAAGCCCAAACAGAAATCTCGAGGCCCTGGGTCCCCTAAAAAAACCCAAAAGTCCTAACAGGGCAAGCCCGAAACGCGTTGAAACCAAACTAGCGCCCTAGTAACTCAACCCTAAACCCTAAACCCTAAACCCTTAAAGGAAATCCTTATAGAGCGCCTATGCAAACCCTGAAAGGAAACCCTGAATTCAAGCAACCCGAAAAATCTTAAACCCTATTTTACCCTTATAGATCCCGTATAGGACCCTTAAAGTGCCTGTAAGGAAACCACATGCAGATAAACAAAGGAACCTAAACCCAAGCCCCTAAAGCCCTAAACCTGCAACCCGAAATCCCTGAGCCTGAAACCCCAAAAAACCTAAACCCTAAACCTCAACCCTACATCGCCTGAACTCTAAACCTTCAACTCCAAGGCCCTAAGCCCCACACCCCAAGCCCGAGTCGCTTTGCTGTTGCCTCGATCCGAGCTTCTCCGTACGAGGGAAGAGCTGCAAGCACGCCTCCAGGGTTCAGGGGATAGGGGACTTTGGGTTTTTTGCCTCCCACCTAGCTGGAGGGATTTGGAGTTTGAGGTTTAGGGTTTGGGGTTTAGTGTTCATGAAAGTTAAGGGGTTTAGGGACGGAACTCAGGCCCTACAATGACAAGATGCCTTCAGAGTCTTTTCTCCCACCCTCCCGGTAGACCAATAAGTAAGGACTCAAGATTTCGGATTTTGAGGTAGGGGAATGCTACAACGTGTATGTACACACTCATACGTACATACATACATACACATACATTTCAGCCGGTGCCAGGTGCAGCAAAGGTCGCATGCTCTGTCTGCGACCAAGAAACGTGGAATCTTTCAAGTGGACTGCCTTTGCTTGTCTTGTATAGTGAGTATAGTGCATGCACTGCCGGCTCCCCGAAACGCCTCCCTGCACCCCTGAAACCCCAGTAACTCCAAAATCCCTTGATTGAGGAATATCTCTTAAACTATAATAGGAATCCTAATATGATTTAAGGTATATTCCTTAATTAAGGGGTTTTGGGCTCTCTGGAGAAACCTCTCCTGATGTTCGTGCCTGCCAGATGGTGCCCTGCGGCGGTGTATAGTCCAGGTGCAGCCACTGCTTGCCAGCCGTTTTGCTGCCTAAGAGACGGCGTCGGGTTTCGAGCGTAGAAGCGCTGTAAGTGTTAGGGTTGAAGGGTTTACACTCTGACAACTTTGACAATCCAGGCGAGGTCTCAGGCGTTTGGGGTGAGGGCTTAGGGTTCTATGCCGGTGTCGACCGTTCCGGTTTGCAAGGAGTTGAAAACCACAAGCGCTTTTACCGAAGAGCTCCCAGGAGGAGCCAATGCCACGACGTCCACGGAGCCGATGAGTGGAGCGTCTGCAGAGCTCTTTAAAGGGTCTCTCGTTGCGCTCAAACAGGGTCCCCGAAAGTGATCAATGAATCTGGTGGGTTGATGCGATGCTTTCGAAGTGGGTGCTAGCAGCTTGTGTTAGGGCTTCTCAATGGGTTTAAGCGAAGGGCTTGACCGACAGACTTCATTGCTCCTTAAACAGGAGTTCCTCGTTAATGCTTCAAGGAACTTCGAGGAATCCGCTTCTGGGACGTAGGCAGTTACACACATCAAAATACAGGGGATATAAGGGTGCAGCGGAGTATAGGGCTGAGAATCTAAAATCCTAGGGTCCTAGGGCTGAGGGATTGCAAGGGCAGCAGGTCGAGGAAGGTGGGGATTCGGCTTTGGGAGCAGCAGGAGTTGGGTTTCAGGCTTTGGACCAGGATTCGACTTGATTGTGCGTCTGTAGATGTACAGGGTCCGAGGCTTGCGTAAAGTGAAACTCCGACGATGTAAACCGAAGATGCGGACACCATCACGAGTGTAAACGTGCAGGGGAAGCCGGCGCTACTATAGGGGCCTGAAAACAGGATAAGACAGCAGGGTATATCAGATCGCGATATATTTATCTATAAGCGGATACAACTACTTACTGACTCATTATGTAGACCCTTTCCTCGGAATCTCTTCGTTTGATATGGACTTTCGCTATCCATATACAGGGAAGATCAACGAGGGGCTACAGTCTTTAGCTAAGGCTCCCTTATCCCTCTGCCATGGTTTCGTGGGCATTCAATCTACATGTGGTCTGAGGAGTCGTGCGTCCGCTTGGCTTGCCTTCCGGTAGATCGAACATGGCTTCGAAGAGCCGTGTGACCTCCGGATCAGAACTTTCCAAGGCACCGTCCCGGACCGGAATGTGTGTGCAGTGACTTCAGTAGATGACACATCGTCGCCAGAATGTTATGATGTAGACCGGTTAACTGTTCACGTGCACTGAACAACTGCCCAATACTTGCATGCCAGAGACCTCCGGGCGGCAGCGCAGGAACCAAGCAAAGTTGCCTGCAGCAACGCTGGGGGAGGTTGGTCGCCGCGTCTCTAGTTTGCTTTTGGCTTGGGATCAGGTCAGGTTTGGCGTTGCAAGATTCGGGCTTACGGCGGGATGCAAACCTCGAGGTGGTTTTCTATCGGTTCTGCATGTGAGAGCCTCGCTTCATGTTTCAGGACGGTTTGCTACGCCATCGTCACTACCTCTCATACCCCTTCTGGATCTTGCAGAGTCTTGCACAAAGCCTTGAGCTGCAAAACCTCCAACCCTCCCTGTGCCGGTGCCGTGGCAAAGCCCTGCGCTGGAGCGCAGGTCGTTGGCAGCAGCAGATCGGGGCAAATGATGCTCACGAACCTGACCGAAATGCCCCCTCCCTCCCTCCCTCCCTCCC